GTTTGTGGATCCACCGCAGACTTCAAATCCTGGAAGAGACGAGAACATGAAGAGAAAACCAATCAGGAACCAAAAGTACCAAAAACTCCCTGAACTGTGCAGCCGCTCACGTTTCTGATGGGTCAGTTTGTACTCACCTGCATGAATGCTGCTGAGTTAGAGCTGATGTCTGCTTGTTTAGCTTTTTCATTGTAATTACTTAAATTTGTGTGGTAATTCAGCCATTCATATATTGAAATGTTCCTTCATTCAAGAGACGGCTTTATGATTTTGTAATTTTTACACTGTTCAATGGTGTTTTTTTATTTTTTACAAATATTTATCTAATAGAAGTACATTGACATCTCTCAACTTCTTTCAAAAGTCTTAATCACTTTAAAATCTGCTTCAACATGCTTGGTCTACTTTTGTCTTCTTGTGCTGCTTTAGTTTTAAACTGCGATTCAGCAACGTGTAGCTTTTAGGTTTGTATGGGATAAGATAACTGTCAGAATTCTTGTATGTGTAAGAGCCTAAATTTGTACATGTAAGTCTATAAACGTACATATATTTGTGTTGATAAGCCTGAGTGGTCTGTTGACTGACCTTTGTATTTGTTCAAATAATTGTTATGGGCAGGTTACAATATAAAAATGTTTGTCTTAATCATGTCTTGTGATTATTTGACAGGAGTTTTACTTTTAAACTGTAAGTGTATTTAATTTAGTTATGTTAGTTATAGGGTTGGGCATAATCGTATCGTGTGCAATTAATCGTCAGAAAAACACTAATCGATTACTTTTTGACACTTGACGATTAATACGATTAATGCCACCAGGCAGAGTCCGCTCGCTGCTCCTCTCCGCTTCAAATATGTTGAACATTTAAAAAAAGGTTCTGTCATTTATTTATCTATCAACACAATTTAAAATTTGATGTATAGACCGAAGTCTGTAATTTTGACACAATTTGGAACAGATTTGTATGAAGAGCAAATCTTTCCGACTAAATTGGCCATGTGACCAGGACATAACGGTGTCCAGGGACTCCACGGGATTAATCATCAAATTAATCGTTATCGGCTAAATACCACAATTAATCATGATTAATTTTTTTGCCAATATTGCCCAACCCTAGTTAGTTATGATAGTTTAGTTATGATGTAAATACAATAAAAATTAAACAAGATTTAGAATAATTATCATTTTGATCCATTGCAACAGAAGAATGAACCACTGGTGTGAAAGTTTACATTTTAAACTTTAATTAAATATCAATTTGGTGCTTTAGCAAATTAATACAATAATGGGAAATTAAATATTGTGATATTTGAGTGTATCAGTATTTTATTACACCCCTAGTATGAATATGAACCAATCAAATTCCTGAACATCACTCAAGCCCCTATTAAGCCAAGAAAGCAAGTTTTACAAAACAGAAGTAAAATAAATAAATATTGTTTTAAGGACAACACATGGCTACAGTATTGGCAGTATAAACATAAACAAAAGAAAGGAAAATTCACTAAAATCCCAACTATTGAGGTTGTTTTAGCTATTCCTGGGTGGTCTTCCATACAGGTACTAACCAGGCCTAACCCTGCTCAGCTTCTGTCCTGAGCCTGGTTCTGCTGGAGGTTTCTTCCTGATTAGCAGGGAGTTTTTCCTCTCCACCGTTTGCTCAGGATGGGAGACTGTGATGAAGTGATTCAACACAATCTGCTGCTTTCTTCTTTACATTGTTCTTTTTATGCACAGTGTCCTGAGACAACATATGTTGTGACTTGGAGCTATATAAATAAACTTGAACTTCTGAGACCAGACGAGATGTGGCATGTTCAGGGTGGCATGGCGGCCATACTGGTTTATTAAAGGTTAATAATCCAACGCAGCTGCCTCAGTCTCTGTAATAAACCTTTTATTTTCATTTTAGTCAGTTTTATCTCATTAAATTCACAGATTCTTATTTTACCTTGAGTTTTATTTAGATGAATATTTTTACCTTGAAGTTTTTCATAAAGATTGAAGGAGTTTGAAGAGTGTCAGAATCTCCTTGTGAATCGAGCTGAACCGGAACGTGGCATTTCTTCCTGCAAGTCCCTCCCTGAGGAGCCATCACCAGACTTGTGAAATCAATTAATCTTTTTTTATAGAGCCTGAGTGGCCTTCAGATTCCTCAAATTTCTCCTGTAAATTAGGCAAATGAGCCACGGTAAGTCTTCCCGCCTCCGGTTCCCAGAAGTGGCCCCAAACATCCAGAAGATTGATCTATTTCCACGTGAAACCAAAGAGGCGTCGAGGCCTATATTCCACCGGCTCGGCTGTAAATGAAGGCTCTGAACTGTGATGTGTCTTTTTGTCACTTCTCCCCACAAGAGCAATGAATGCATCTGTCATCAATGAGAGCTGAAACTCAGAATCCTTCTCATGAAACTTCCATCCTAACTTTTTTTTTCTTTTCAGAAGGGCCATCATGAGATCCGAGAACTCCGTCAGTTCCACTTTACCAGCTGGCCCGACCACGGCGTTCCCTGCTACGCCACGGGACTGCTGGGCTTCATCCGGCAAGTCAAGTTCCTGAACCCACCTGATGCTGGACCCATAGTGGTCCACTGCAGGTAAGAAGATAAACTCTGATTAATGGCTGACAAACAACACGTCAGCTGAGGAGGTAGATGAGGTATAAGGCTTGGAAAACCCAGAGACATCTGTGACATAAAGAAGAATAAAGGAGTTTGATCTGTTTTCTGCTCAGACAGATGAAATGTTGTTTTTGAGACAGAACTGAGGGACAAACTGTAAAAAAGAAGAGTTTCAGTATTTCCTCTCAAGGACAAAATCTAGTTGTTCCCATCGTGCTGAGTTTCAAACTACTTTAATAAAACTTATTTTTACTCCATCACCAGCAGGATTAGATAAAAAAATGAAGATATTTTTTGTTTCACCTCCATGTTCAGCTTCAACACTTGAGGCAAATTAAATTCCTTATCTTTACACAATTATTTTTAAAAATTAGTTTTTTACAAATTAATTATAAATTGGTTTATTCTTCCCTTAATCTTGTTAAAGTTTAGTGTTTTTTACTTTGATAACGTTAGCCAACACCTCTTAATCATGATAGTCGCTAGCCTCTGTGTTGCTAATGCTAGCTTATCCCTGCTAGTCGCTAGCCTCTGTGTTGCTAATGCCAGCTTATCCATGCTGGTCGCTAGCCTCTGTGTTGCTAATGCTAGCTTATCCCTGCTGGTCGCTAGCCTCTGTGTTGCTAATACTAGCTTTTCCCTGCTGGTCGCTAGCCTCTGTGTTGCTAATGCTAGCTTATCCCTGCTAGTCGCTAGCCTCTCCGATGCTAACACCATCTTATTAATGCTAGTCGCTATCTTCTGTGTTGCTAATGCTACGATAGTCGCTAGCCTCTGTTTTTCTAATGCTAACTTATCCCTGCTAGTCGCTAGCTTCTGTGTTGCTAACAACATCTTATCAACGCTAGTTGCTAGCTTCTGTGTTGCTAATGCTATGATAGTCGCTAGCCTCTGTGTTGCTAATGCTAGCTTATCCATGCTAGTCGCTAGTCTCTGTGTTGCTAATGCCAGCTTATTCATGCTAGTCGCTAGCCTCTCTGATGCTAATGCCAACTTATCCATGCTAGTCGCTAGCCTCTGTTTTTCTAATGCTAGCTTATCCCTGCTAGTCGCTGGCATCTCCGATGCTAACACATCTTATCAATGCTAGTCGCTAGCCTCTGTGTTGCTAATGCTAGCTTATCATGCTAGTCGCTATCCTCTGCGATGCTAACACAAATGAATAGTCTCCTTCTCATTTTCCAGCACCAAACTCTCAGTTAGCGATGCCAGCTGCTCAGTTAGCGGTGTCGGCCTATCATTAATCAGATTAATATCTTGTTTAGGAAAACATATAGCCTCCTGCTACAAGGATGTAGCAACCTCTGGTTGTGCTATAGTCTTACTTTTGGCCCTCATACTGTAACATCAGAAAACTTAATTGCTGCTTAATGCTGGAGGCATTCATACTATTGTTTTCATTTTTCTCTTTATTCTTTATTATTCCAGTTTCTTCCGTACGTTTTTTGGACCACTTCTCCGTCCACAATTTTTGTGCTATTTAAACCATTCATATATCAAAATGTTCAGCTATTTAAGGACATTCCGGCTATGTAACTTAACTTTTTATACATTTTTATTTTTTTAGCAATTTCAATTTTTAAGCAGTTTTTTCCCCATTGACTTTGAATGGGTACATTTTTTGGACGGCTTTTCCTTCCACATTTTTTATGCTACTTAAACCATTCATATAAAAAACCTTCATCCGTTTTTACCAGATTATTCTCTAATATTTGTTGTTTATGACATCAGAGTCTCTGCAGCTACTCTTTCTAGACAAGTAAACAACAAAAGTGAAGCTAAAAGCAGGGGGTAGAAGAAGAAAGCAGATAAATGAAGAGAGCTGGAGCGTAAACAGACAGGCGTGGTGGAAGTATGTCGACGGACGGGCAGGAAGTTATGGCAGTCACTTCCAATTTCCGGGGCCACTCTAACACTATTGGCCTGTGTCATGAGGCTTTCAAACACACACACACACACACACACACACACACACGCCACACAGCAAGGCCCGGCAGTATTCTGGTCTCAACATTAATCACAGACGCTGACAGGTAATCTGCCGAGGCGCTCCCTCCTTTTCTCCCTCTCTTCTCTTATCTCTCCTTCTGTTTCCCTCTCTCTGCAAACTGTCAGAAGGATTGCACAATGAAAGATGGGGCTCCTGCCTCCTCCTCCTCATCTTCATCCCTTCACCTGCTCTTTTTTTTTTCTCATGATGATCACGGTGGCTAACCTCTGCTCACCAACCCATGTCCCGGCCTCCTCCCCTCCTCTTGTTCTGTCCATCCTTCTCCTCCGTCTCTGCCCTGCAGGCACGGCTCTTCAGACGGTGTCACTTTAACACATGACATGAGATATTAAAGTGTCCAGACGTTTGTGTGTGACTGAGAGCGAGAGACAAACGAGGGGACAGACAACTCCCCCCATTCTCTGTCTTTTATTTGTTTTACCTTGTGCAACAAGTGCTTTAAAAGCTTCTCTAAAACTAAATAGTGTGAACACTTCACAATCATTCACACTATTGAGATCATTTTTTTCTTATATTGTATCCAGAGTTGTAAAGTAACTAAGTACAAATACTTTGTTACTGTACTGTAGAAATTTTGCGTATCTTGCGTACTTGTGTAATTATTTTTCAGCGTACATTTTACTTTCACTCACTACATTTTTTAAAAAGGTAAGAAGTAGAAAGTTGTTTCTATTTTATTCTGAGTTATTACTTAAAAAATCCTCTCCTGATAAATTGTGTCTCCTGGATAGAGTGAATTTAATTGTGTTTGGATGAGAAGTATAAATATATACCATTCTGACACACTGTTAGCTTGTACACAACCCATCACAGCTGCACGCTGCTAGAAAATATATTTTTTGGAGAAGTCACCTCCCAATAAATGTCATTTTGGAAAATCTAACTGCTCACTTTTACTCAGTACTTTTACTTTTAATACTTAAGTAGATTTTGTGAACTTTGTGTTCACTGCTGTAAAACCATTAATAAATACCAAGATTCAGTGATTTAAGTCTTGTTTGTAGGGTTTTAAACTGATGCTTCTCCACTTTTAAACTACTTTATTTATAAAACTAGAAGCACTTTGAGAGTGCAAACCTCTGCAAAGTTCAATTTCCTCCATCCTGTAAGAGTTAACGCACAAAAGCAGAGATGGAAACACATTTACTGAATAAGTTCTGACGTAGTGAACATTTAAGCAGCAGTATGCACGGGATTTCTTCTGGTGGAGTCCAATGTGGAAAAAGGAAAAAATTCAGACGCATCACCTGACGTTATTGTTGAAAGCTTTCACATCGGTGCTACGTGATTTAAAAAAAGCAGAGTTTTCATCGCGCGTTTAACCGCACAGACACACACGTGTCTTCCTATCTTTGTGAGGACCACACACAGCGGTCAGAACCACGCTCTGCGCATTGTTTTTTCCCTAAAGTTTGTCGAGAGGTGGAAAGAGGGACGCACAAAGAGCTCTCAACTTGATCTGGCCTCATTTAAATAATAAAACTGAACAAACAAACAAACAAACAACCTCCGAGTCTGAAGTCCACCGCGTCACTCCTCTTCCTCAATCTTCATCGATCTGTTTACAAGCCTACAACAACGTGGTGTGTTTGAGGAAATGGGAAAAATAGGTTTCATGCTGCAATCACGAACTTCCTGGGCACAAAACGTTCTCTAAATGCGCAAAATGTGCACATTATGGCAAGAATTATTCATCATTACATCTGGTTTTAACATTACTTTCATAAAGTTTGAAGTCCAAACACTGAAATCTGTGATAGTTTTTTACAGAAGCCCTGTGAAAGCATCACAGCTTTGCCGATCTAAGAGGATTAAAAGAAAAAATTCCTGTATCCGCATCGTGATCTGGAACATCACCAAAATCTAATGGTGTGTTACTTCAGCGAGTACCCACATGTGGTGTAAATGTCATGACAATCCGCCCCCAGGTTTTTGAGTAATGTTGTCCACAGACAGACAGACATACGCAACCGAAAACATTACCTCCTTGGCGGAGGTAAAAAAAATATCCAGAATGAAGCAAATATCAGAGACTGAGACACTTATTTCATTTTAAAAAAGAAACCAAGTTTGGCTTAAAGAAAATCAGTCATAAATAATTTACCTGTCTCTCATTGTCAGAGCTGTTGAATTCAGTCTGTTTTGTGCACTTGTTTAATAAACTGTTACTTTTTTATCTGCTTCGGACAATGAATCAAATTTATCCATTAAGGTAATTTATTTCCACAGATTAATTGTCCTTTAAGAAAAGAATCAACGTTTTAAACTGTTATTGGTTGGAATATTTGAGGAAACGTTTCTTACGTGAAGTTTTGACAGAACAGCGAGTTCAGTTCGTAAATATAAAATGTTGTTTCTGCGCAGCGCCGGCGCAGGCAGGACGGGCTGCTTCATCGCTGTGGACATCATGCTGGACATGGCTGAGAACGAAGGAGTGGTGGACATTTTCAACTGCATCCGTGAGCTGAGGTCGCAGCGAGTCAACATGGTGCAAACGGAGGTGAGTGGCAAAACGCAGCAGATTACAGGTAAACACAGGTGTCAGTCTGACAGGTGTGTGCGAGCGACACCGTTTTATTTATTAACCCTTTAAACCGGACAGTTTGGATCAGAATAAAAACTCTACGAGACTTCAGAAGCAGAGAAACCTTTTTATAAATAACTGACAACAAAATAGCAGAAATAAAAGAAAAACGGGCGTCTGCGTGTCGACTATAAAGTGAGTCTGAAGGTATTTTACTGAGAAGTCTGGTCTTAAAAAGGTGTTTGTTTTAAAACAGGAGGATTCGTTTCCTCCCTCAGCTACCTTCAGTCGACCTCGTTCCTCCCAGAAAAACCTGGTTTCAAAGAGCCGACTCTTCCTCCAGCCACGGCTTCAAGCCTGAAACGGACTTTTAAAATCACTTTAAAGGTGTAAAATTAAAAAAAATCAGAGAATCCTGATCTTGCTTTCTTTGATTCCTGCTCTCAGTAACGTTGAGTCTGTGTCTGGAAGCTAAATGCCTCCTGACCTGCCTTTTAAAATATGTTTGGGAGCAATTTGTCTTGTTATTGCTGCTATTATAATCCTGCTCTGCACAGCACAAGGCAATTAATCTTTTAAAAGGTAGAGGGAGGAGGAGTGTGTGTGTGTGTGTGTGTGTGCGTGTGTGTGTGTCTGGAGTGGCCCAGAGAGGTCACTTTACTGATGCTTTCCAAACCCTGTCTGTCGGCTTGATGGGCAACAAATCAACATTCAGCGGACCCTCAGAGAGGAGGTTGGAGACAAACAGGTGTGAGAGGGAAAAATTAAAACCAGACTGACATCAAATGGTTCAGTTCAGTACCTTTATTGTCCCCACAAGGAGGGAAATTTGATTTACAGCAGGTATTTCCAACATACAAACAACTTATACACGTACACTTGATTTATTGTGTTGAAGTCTGGGGGAAAGCATGTAAAATAATTATAAACCTTACAGAAAAGAGCTGTAAGAATTATTACTAGAAAACACTACAGTCACCATCAAATATATTATTTTATCTGTTGAAATTATTGAGGTTCTATGAGTTGGTTGATTATAATATTTTACAGGTTATATATAAGGCTCATAAATGTATATTACCTTTAAACAACCAATTAAATTTTGTTCAGAGAGAAAGTTGTTATAATCTGCACTGTAAAAACTGTCCATCTGACCAAGTTTTAAAACCTTATATCAGCCAAAAAGTCTTTTTGATCTTGTTTTGAGACTGATTTACTAAACAAGAACTGATTGTGTAAGAATAATCATCTTGTTTTCAGAATGTGTAAGATTATTTGTCTTGTTAGTCTGAAAATTTGACTCAAATTAATTCAAAAATTTCTGCCAGTGGAGTAAGAAAATTTTACTTGGTAAGATTCTTGAAATAAGAAAAAATTGAGACAATTAAAGTATTTTAAGAAACTTACGGTACGGTGCACAGCCCTGTGTCTTCTGAATAAATGAAAATGATTTAACACAGTTGTTTATACTTTTAGCAGCTCTTTTTATTCCACAGCTGACCTGCTAAAAATGACAGATTTTCTTTTCTGGATCTCTGACAGACGGACTTCAATCTCTGAACTCGTAAAGTTTTTATTTTTGATTTTTGCTGTAATTTTCATGAATGGACACTTCCTGATATCTGAGGCAGGAAACACAGCCTTATATGGTGTTTTTGGGGTGGTAATTATGCTAATCTCCTCTCTCGTGCACGAGCAGCTGGATACGAACAGGTGAATTTACGCAGCTCATTTACACACTTTTCCTGAAGATAGAAGAGTTTGTTGAATCTGACGTGACATGTTCGTACGAACCCTTTGTACGAACAAAAGTAAGAGAAATTTAGGAGAAGAATACGAACATGTTGTTGCATGAGGCCCATTATTCTTACTCAATCAGTTCTTGTTTAGTAAATCAGTCTCAAAACATGATCAAAAAGACTTTTTGGCTGAAATAAGATTTTAAAACTTGGTAAGATGAACAGTTTTTGCAGTGAAAGGGGTGCAGATGTTTGTGAAAACCTGGATTTTAGAACTAGTTTGACGGAGCGATGTACAATCTGGAGAGTGACGTCAAAAATGATCAATGTTTATGTTTAAGAGAATGATAAAAGTCACTTTGATAAAGAGATATGAAACAAAATGATGTGTGTTCATATGAAATGTTCAACAAGGATTCGAGGTTGTTTTTGTTTACTTTTTCTTGTTTGTAGATTATTATTGTTTAAAATTTTAATTTTGGGAAGAAAAAGGCGCAGATACTATAAGATATTTTTCTTCTTTCTGCCGCCTTTCATTTTATTTGTGATTTATATTTTTATTATATATAAATTTATTTTGTTACTTTTAAAGAAATGAATAAAGTTTAAAAAATATATAAATACACTGCTCAAAAAAATAAAGGGAACACTTAAACAACACACGCTAACTCCCGATCTTAATCAATGAAATATTCGCACTGAGTACTTTGTTCTGTACAGAGTTGAATGTGCTTCACAAAAGTTTGATTTACTTGGACTTAGCCTGCGTTGTTTAAGTGTTCCCTTTATTTTTTTTGAGCAGTGTATATATATATATAATACATAGACCAGGGCTATTCAACTAAATTTCTCCGGGGCCACAGTTGCTGCAGGCCAACGGCACAGGGGCCAAACATCCAGCAATTAAAGTCATTATGTAAATAAACCAAGTATTACAAAGATCTGTTACCTTTGAAACAGTTTATTTTACTGGATTTAATCATGAATACAACATACAGAACCCTATGTAATAAAAGAAGGGTTAATAAAACAATAAAAATAAAAAGAACACATTCTGCCTCATTTACCACAAATAATATTTATCTCTGACTTACCAAATTTTTAAACCAATTTTATTTTCACTTTCGTTGTTTTAACTGACTTGAATGTTCATAGAAATGGTTTTTACCAGCTTGTAGCCACGATTCTGATGTTTCTGTAGATACCAAACATGTCTAAATTTAACTAAAAGAACTTAGAGTAATTAAAGTAGACAACTAGGTGTTTGGGCGTAAGAGATGAATGAACCAATTGGCGGGCCGAACTTTGGTCACTTGCGGGCTGGATTTGGCCTGCGGGCCGCCAGTTGAATAGCCCTGACATAGACAATGTCGAAGCATACAGGCAGCAATTTATAAAGGTTTAAATAAATTTTAAAACTATAAATTTATAAATTTAAAAATCTGATTACTCTGGGTACAAAGAAGTTCTACCATCGGTTACTTTTAATCCTGGAAAACCTAAAACTCCTCAATTTTAAAAACATACAAACATAAAAAAAACCAGCCATCCGTAAATTTATAGATGAGATTTAAAAACTACAAGTTCAGAAGATTTAAAACTACGAGTTTAAAGATCTGATTGCAGTGGGCACAAAAGAGCTCTACCATCGGTTACTTTTAACCCTCCAACCAGAGGGAAGAAGCTGTAATTCTGTAAAACGTTACTTTTTGGGCAATACAACAAATACATATATCATTATGTGGGATTGGGCTACCTTAATTATCTTGTTTGCAGCAATTACAAATTTGTTTAAGCAGTTTTTGATCTGAACACTTAGATTTCCAAACCAAGCAACTATAAAGTTAAACCAGATTCAGTAAAAGACTCATGATCCTTCTGTTTACAGTAAAAATGTTCCCCTTCCTTAAAAAGACAGAAACATAAATGAGCTGCAGTGTTGCTGTTGAAGCTCTTAGCTGTTGAGTTTACCAGTGAGCGTTTGGACTCGGTCGGTTCTAAGATGTTGTGTGTACAAACGTTGCAGGAGCAGTACGTGTTCGTCCATGACGCCATCTTGGAGGCGTGTCTATGTGGGAACACGGCCATCCCAGTGTGCGAGTTCAGAGCTGTTTACTACAACATCAGCAGGCTGGATCCACAGACCAACTCCAGCCAGATTAAAGACGAGTTCCAGGTGAGTCCGGCTTCTTCACTTTCTGTTTTTTTTTTAAAGGGATCCATGATTAGTTGTAACATTAGACTTTATTTGATGAACATTTATTTTAACTGTAAAATAAAGACTGTAAAAATACTGTAGATGTTTAGTTTTGTAAATTTTTTAAAATATATTTTAACACAGACGGAGCCATTTTATTTACACACAAAGCATTCTGGGTAAATGATGACGTGGATAGGTCCTCGGTGTGAGAGAGCTATATCAATTCAGTTTATTTATATAGCACCAAGTCACAACATCTGTTGTCTCAGGACACTGTASATAAAAAGAACAATGTAAAGAAGAAAGCAGCAGATTGTGTTGAATCACTTCATCACAGTCTCCCATCCTGAGCAAACGGTGGAGAGGAGAAACTCCCTGCTAATCAGGAAGAAACCTCCAGCAGAACCAGGCTCAGGACAGGAGACCATCTGCCTCGACCGGCTGGTTGGAGGACAGGAAAGAGACGCAGACAAACACAGAAGAACTGGTCCAGGACTGGTCCAGGTGCACCTTCTTCTGGAAGAGACAAAGAAAAAACATGATAGAAATAATAACAATAAACATGTAGAGAAGAGAGACTAAAGACAACATCAGAGTGAAGAAATGTGCTGTTTGTGCTCCAGCAGCAGCGATGAACAGTTTAGCTTGTTAGTTTGTAGCTAATACATATAAGGAAATATAGCATCGGCGCTAAAGCTAACAGGCTAAGCTGAGGTTGTTCTTCCATGAAGCAGCTCTGTTGTCCTCCATCCATATTTTCAGTTCCAGGCTGAGTCATTTCTACCTTCTCCTCTCTGTCAACGCTCTCTGGTTTCATTTAAAAGAGTCGATCATCAGATATTGTCCAAGATTAACCTTCAGGGTGGATATAGCTCGCTAGCAGCCTCGCACCGAGGACCTATCCACGTCATCATTTACCCAGAATGCTTTGTGTGGAAATAAAATGACTCCATCCGTGTAATATATTTTTAAAAAAATACTTAAAAATGATAAAAACTAAACACCTACAGTATTTTTACAGTCTTTATTTTACAGTTAAAATAAATGTTTATCAAATGAAGTCTACTGTTCCGTTTAAAGAATGAAGGTAAAAAAGGTTTAATCGTTGGTTTCTAAACCCTCAGACTCTCAACATAGTGACGCCCAGAGTCCGTCCGGAGGACTGCAGCGTGGGTTTGCTCCCTCGAAACCACGATAAAAACCGCAGCATGGACGTCCTGTCGGCGGACCGGTGCCTCCCCTTCCTCATCTCTGTGGACGGAGAGAGCTCCAACTACATCAACGCAGCCTTAATGGATGTAAGCTTATGATCTGTTGAAAGCTGCCAGTCCCGCTTCGATTGGTCCGGTTTTTATTTCGTGTCGTCCCAACGCAGAGCCACAAACAGCCAGCAGCCTTCATCGTTACCCAGCATCCTTTGCCAAACACCATGGGAGACTTCTGGAGGTTGGTGTTCGACTACAACTGCTCCTCCATCGTGATGCTCAATGAGATGGATGCAGCGCAGGTAGGACTGCACCGACGCACGTACAGCTCTTAGGAAGATGACCTCATTTTAATGTCGACATCCTGTTTGTTGTAGCTGTGCATGCAGTACTGGCCCGAGAAGAACTCGTGTTGTTACGGTCCCATTCAAGTGGAGTTCATATCAGCAGACATCGATGAAGACATCATCAACCGGATCTTCAGGATCTGCAACATGGCCCGGGTACGCCAGGCTTTCAGTCCCTGATTTTACTGGTGACATTTAAACTGGCTCAGACTCTGGTTCTGGATCAGACTCTGGTTCTGGATCAGACTCTGCTTCTGGCTCAGACTCTGGTTCTGGATCAGACTCTGGTTCTGGCTCAGACTCAGACTCTGGTTCTGGCTCAGACTCTGGTTCTGGCTCAGACTCTGGTTCTGGCTCAGACTCTGGTTCTGG